TTGCTGGAGAATAGTGCCAAGACTTTCTTAGTCTGTAAATCACAGTACATTATGGTCAGACTTCCTTGAGCAAAGCTCTTTCTGTTCAGTTACGCAAACCTCCTCCTGGGAAGGTTTGCTAACCCTTTTCCTGATTGGACTTGTTCAATGCTTCTTAGCAGTTTCTAGAATCAAAGGGCAGTACCTTACAGCCACAGGGGGTAGGAGTAAGCTAACTGCCTTCTAAGAATAGTTGAGCTGAATATGGTACTCTACAGTTTATAAAGCGTTTTCACACTCACGTGTATTTCTTTGGTTCACACAACTTTAGAGCGGGATAGAGGAGCAATTTGCAAACTTACCTTGAGCAAATTCCCTTCCTCTTTTTCTGTTTTGATTTCCTCATTAATGAAAAAACAAGATGATACTCTCTTTTAAAGGTATTTTCAGGCAAAGCTACTCTGCTTTCTAACTCCTGGGAGTGCTGTTCACATTGAATGCCATGTGACAGGTCCTCCTAGGATTGCGCAATGGGTGGAACTCCTCATATGTGTGTTGTGAGGGTGAAATGACATCATTTATGTACTAGCAGAAGGCCTGGGAGATAGTAGGTGATGAATAAATGCTTATCAAGTGAGTGAACTACTCACTTGGTTATGATGAATTCTGAGGGAAACTCATAGGAAGAAGGAAGTTGTATGGCCCCCTGTGGCTGGTATTGCCTTTCCTGCCCATTTTCCTGGCTCTCTTGCCAAGTTGCCCTTTGTCCCAGGCCTCTGGGCTCCCAGCCGGCAGAAGGCACAGAGTTATCTATGGGGCCTGGAGTGCTGGGCCTGGGCTGTGTAATGACCAGCCTTCCGCTTGCTTGAAGTTTCCGCTGGGGGGCTGGAAGCCACAGCATCCAGATGGCTAATTGCTTTGTGCCTGTTTCTGCAAATCACAGTGATTCACTGTCCCTGCTGAAAACATGCTCTCTTTTCAAAGATTTAATGGTTTCCAAAATTAATTTAGCCTCATCTGTTATCCCCCTGCCCTTCTGCACTGTCCTCTCTCTCCCCAGCACCCTCTTTTTTTTCCCTCCTTGCTCCCCATCCCACAATGGAGCATTCTGTGTCAAAAGCCGGCTTTTACTCTGCAGGGCAACGTGGAGAGGAATGGGAAGCATAGACTCCTTCCACGGCCACCTGAACACAAGCTGAGTGTGGCATGTCAGATGGAAGCCCAGGAGGGTAGAGCCAGGGGTAGTTTCTCTTACCACCCCACAGGCTCAGGCCACCAGCTCTGGTCTGACCGACACCTTGGTTGAAGAGGTGTCAGTCAGCCTCCCGTTCGTACCCCAAGCAGCCTCCCAGTCGTACTGTTTTCCTTAGTGAACTCCCAAGGATCACCTGCTTTTTGTGTGTGAGGAACATGGTCAGTTTTGTTTGCTTTCGACAGCTCGTTATGGGTCCACGACGCCAGAGTCCTGGCTAAAAGGCCACAAGTTTAGGGAGTCTCTCTCCATCTGAGACTCACTTGTTTCTTGACCATCTTTGGATGGTCATTTATTGGAGCTCTCTCCAGGCCAGGCATATGGTAGGCCCTAGGGGGCCGGGGGTAAAAAACTGCTGCAATCCTGGCCTTTCAGGAACTCAGTCTACAGGGAGAAAGAAAAGGCCTGAGGTCAGCAGGCCTCGCTCTGATCTGCTTCATCTGTTTCAAGGCTGTGTTGTTAACTCTATTGAATTTCCCAGTTATTATATCTTCCTGATGAATTGTTGATTTTATCAGTGGAATGTCCATCCCACTTTGACCCTCGTAATGCTTTTTACCTTAAATTCTATTTTATTCTGTGCATCACTAGGGAACTAGTTGATTCAGTTATGGTATATCCTCACAATGGAGTACTATGCTGTTGTGAGAAAGAATGAGGGCCATGTTTATGTGCTGTTAGGAAGTGATTTCCAGGATATGTTGTTAAGATGGAAAAGCAGGAAGGAGAAAATATGTATTGTATGCAACTGTTTAAGAAAGAGAAATATTCATCTGCATGTGTGTTTGCTTGTATATTAAAATGCAGAAAAATAAATCATTACATCAAAGTAAATAAATTGATAAAATGGGTAGAAGGGGAGAGATGTTTGTCAAAGGGTGCAAACTTTCAGTTATAAGATGAAAGAGATCTAACGTACGGCATAGTGACTATAGTTAATATCACTGTATTATATATTTGAAATTCGCTAAGAGAGTAGATCTTCAGTGTTTTCGTCACACACAAAAATGATGATGTGAGGTGACACATGTTAATTTTATTGTGGAAATCATTTCATTATGTATACATATATTGTCATCACATTGTATATCCTAAATACATACAATTTTTATTTGTCAATTATATGTCAAATGAAGTCTTGGGAAACAAAAAAGAAAAAATCCTCATAAAAAATAAAATACAATAAACATAAATAAATACAAATATTTCTTTTGGGAGAGGGAGAGATTGGGCAGAGGGGTCAGGAATAGAAGTAAGGCTTCTCTGAATAGACAACTTTCTAGATTTGATTTTGGAATGTAAATATGATACATAGTTATAAAACAAAATTAAAATGGAGAAAACACTTCTTAAAAAAAGGCAAATGATAACAACTATGTAACAGTTTGGTGGCAAAACTCACAGAATTATTTCAAAAGACTCTAAAATATAGTATTTAACAGTATGACTGTTGAGAGATATACCCTATGTAGGGAACAATAGCAAAACACTCTGCAAAAATAAACCCCCTTTGGAGATCACATTGTTAGTAATATTACTGCTACTATTATCCTGGAACTCTTATAAGTAGGTAGGATGAAGCAAATAAGCAACTATGTTAACATTATGGTCCAAGGTTTTCAGTATAATGGGGCAGAGACACAAACATAAAAATCAAATATGTGAAGGAAAAATTCTAAATTTGAAGAATAAATATTATAAGTATGGACTTATGATTAATTTAAAATAATCTACTTCCTAGCAGAGTCAGCTGAGAAGGCCTAGAAACAATAATCACTCCAATAAGAACGAGCACCTCTCAACCCCAGATTTGTGATTTCTAACTACCATGTTCCACTAAAAGGACCAAGGCTTCTCAGGGAAATTTTTCCATGTTTGTCTTGTACATTATCCTACCCTGTGTGTTATAGGATACAAATCTGTCAAACCAGATAGAAGGAAGTTGCCAGAGATGATTAGAGTCTTATCCAAAGAAGAGCAGCATTGACTTGAAGAGGCACCCGCTGGCCAAAAATGGGATAATTAAGCACCAATAGAATAATAACTGATGGCATTTACTGCAGCATTATTCACAGTAGCCAACATATGGAATAAACCCAAATGTCCATCTACCCCACCCTCCCTAACTGCAGTTTTCCCCCAAGACATCATTACTTCAAATCTTCTAGCTGTTTCTTTTCCCTGTGATAATTTCTTTGTTGTTGCTTTTTCTTTATTTTTTGAGAGAGGGTCTTGCTCTGTCACCCAGGCTGGAGTGCAGTGGCACAGTCTCAGCTCTCTGCAGCCTCTGCCTTCCAGGCTGAACTCAAGGAGTCCTCCCACCTCAGCCTATTCAGTAGATGGGACCACAAGCATGTGCCACTATTCCTGACTTTTTATTTATTTATTTTTGAGAGATAGGATTTCGCCATGTTGCCCAGTCTGGTCTCAAACTCCTTGGCTCAAGCAATCTACCTACCTGGGCCTCCCAAAGTGCTGGGATTACAGGCAAGAGCCACCATGCCCAGCCTCTCCTTATTTTTAAGTGATATGCTTATTCTGTTAATTCTTGATATTGCAGGAACACAGCTCTCCCATGGCACCTGGTGACCTTGCATATATCTAAATAGGGCACCAAGGCAAAGGGTTGAGCCACAGCGAATATGAGTCTTGGCAGAATGACTTGTGGTCTTCTCAGAACACAAGAGAGTATGGGAGACTTGTAAAGAGCTGCTAAGAAACCATTTTCCATCCACTCTTATCTCCCCTGGGAGGCTGACATAAGACAGACAAGACAAGGCAAGACCAAGACCTGCCTGATTCAATCAGCAAAGATACAATGAACCACTTCAGATTTAGATAGTTTATTACTTATAGACAGAGAAAAAATAAGAATAAGCTGAAAGTGCTAGCTCCCTGTGATCCTTTTCTCACACATCAAAAACGATGACACAAAAGGAGCCCATGACTGAAACATGAGTTGTTGGACGTCCATTGCTGAGGAACCAGTCTTAGACTGTGGCTAAGCAGTTTTACATTCTTCAGCTTTATTCTGAGGTATGGGGCTTTAGTGATTTGATTCTTTTTGGGTTTTTTCCCTTTTGTCTTTAGTGATCTGAAAAGTCAAAGTAAAGAAGTGCTTCATTGTATCTTTGCTGATTGAATCAGTAGGTCTTGGCCTTGCTTTGTCTTGTAGGTGACAGACACCATCTCTTGATTTCCTGTGTGATAATTGAGGTTTTAGTTTTCTTACATTTTCCCTCTCTCATATAAATGTAGTATGATTTTTAAAAAAATTAAGTCAGCAGTCAATGTTTATATTGTTCTGGCTCTGCTGAAGATGGTGTTGCACAACGACATTCCCTCCAACTTTGTGTTTTTCCTGCAGTTAAGAATTGCCATCGTTTTTCTTTTGCTTAGTTTTCAAAAATAGCTATTGCTAATATTTTCTGAATGTTCTGTGTATATCTGTTAAACATCTAGCAACGCTTTTCTTCCAAATGCCCAAGTGTCTGAAATAATCGCTCACTATCCCCTCCTCTACTGCCAGAGATCTCCCTTCTTTGCCCTGTCATCTTGCTACAAAAAGATAACATCTTGTTACCCTCTATACCTGGGGCTCAGGTGTCATCTGAGGACTTCTTAGCATCAGTCTTCTTCTTTGCGTTGCTTCTCTGTTTTCTGGAGTCCCTTTGTTCCTTGTTCTTGGCTTAGTCTTTTATTTCACTGAATCATATCCCTCACTACCTTCCTAAGAAAAGGTGTGTAGGAGGTAAAAATTTTGAGTTTTTACATGTCTGGAAATGTCTTTATTCCACAGTTATCCTTTATTTGGCTAAGTATAGAATGCCAGGATAAAAATAATTTTCACTCAGAACTTTGGGTGCCCAACACTACTCTCCTCCTGAACTGCTGTTGTATTCCTTCATACACGACGTGAGTTGCTCTCTAGAGGTTATTCGTTTATTCCCATTTTCCCGGAATTCTGAAATTTAAAATTATTGCCTTCGTATTTTCCCCCATTCTAATGGACGCATTTAGTGGACATTTCAATTCCAAGATTTATGTCCTTCACTTCTGGGAAAATATCTATCTATCTATCTATCTATCTATCTATCTATCTATCTATCTATCTATCTATCTATATCATCTATCAATCATCTATCCATCCATCCATCTATCAATCATCTATTTATTCATTCTATCCTTTGTTTTCTCTGTTTTCAATGCTGAATAAAATTTTGAAACTTTTTGAATATACTTTTAACAGTCTTTCTTCTCCTAGCTTTTATTTCTTTTATTCTACTTTCTGGGAGATTTCTTCAACTTTATTTTCCTACTCTTCTGAACACTTTTTTTTTTTTTCTTTTTACAGCGAGTCTCACTCTGTCACCTAGGCTGGAGTGCAGTGGCATGATCATAGCTCACTGTAGCCTCAAACTCCTGGACTGAAGTGATCCTTTTGCCTCAGCTTCCGAAAGTGCTGGGATTTCAGGTATGAGCCACTGCACCCAGCAGCGATCACATTTTTAATTTGTAAGAGCTCTTTATCATCCTCTGATTATTTCTACTTCACGTCGTCCTGTTCTTTTTCATAGATACGTATCTTTTTTTTAAATCTCTGAGACTATCAGTTAAAAATACACATAAAAATTTTAAGTTTATTTTTACATCATCTCTGTTTCCTTTGGCTCATTTTTTTTGTTTGTTTGTTTTGGTCTCCCTCTTTCATGTGGGATACTTTTTGCAAATTTCTGGTGATCCTGGGTTATCTAGTCATATCTAACAGTGAGGCATCACAATGTTTGGTGACTCTGTTATGTGGGCAGATATTTGACTGGGAGTTCTCAATCTCAGGCTATTTCATTAGGAAACCATAGAAGTCTATCCTTCAGAGGTCGGTAAAGGGTGGGTTTGAGACGTTTGGGTGGGGGCATTTTGACAGCATGGCTTCTCCTTTGGCATGTTTAATTGTGATGTTTGACAGACATCCTTGTAGTCAAAGATGACACTTTTAAAATACATTATCTCCTAATGATGGCTTGGGCCCTGTCACTCAATGGGAGAATCAGCAGAACCTATAGGATCTTATGTGGAATTGATATTCTCTGTTGTAATTTTGTTCCTGTTTATTTTAAAATTTTCTTTGTGTTTCACCAGAAAAGAAAGATGATGCTCAGTTTTAAATTTAACAGTGCACAAGTTGCTTTGTTACAATAAAACCCAATGTGTACTCACACACAAAAAGTCCATCTTCAGGGGACTTTTCTCTGGAGCTGATAAATCTTTTTTCAGTGAAGAATCCTCCAATCTTCTAGCCAGGGGACATATACCTGACAGTCATTTTCTGGGAATGGGGTAAGGGAGGAAGCCTGGCAGTGGGCTCCACTATGAACAGGAAGACTTAAACCTAATCCTCCATTAGGGCAGCCAGACACTGCCCTACTGTTGCTGGGATCCCTGAACCTGAGGGTGCTCTGGTTCTATTTCTCTAGAGAAAAAAACCTCCAGTCAAGTGCAAGGACATAGTTGCCTGACTATATGGGATTGGGAGGGGATATGGAGTTGTAATTTCTTCATATATTTCTTTCAACTGTTTCCCTATGGTTTAGCCTATGCTTCCAACTCACTTCCTGCAGAAGCTGCTGCTTCCAAGTTCCCAGCTCTTGGAGCTCTCTGGGGAGAATCTGCTCAGTCCTCACCATCAGTGCCATCCTTGGGCCTTTCAAGTCTTCCTGTTCTCCACTCTGCTAATTCAGTTACCACTATGGCAGCCACTTTTAATCATCCCCAGATTTGCTGTTATTTTGTCCACTGAGGTCCTCACTCCCATTCTCTGAATTCTCATGGGTTTACGCTTTTGTGGGGTCTTTGGAGAAAAGGGAGATAAAGATATATGGTCAATTTCTTATCTCCAGTATCTCTGACACCACCTGCTGTCAGCCACACACTTTTAAAACTAGAATTTATTTTTTTAATTTCAATTTTATTTTTAAATTGGTAAATAATTGTATATAAAGGGTACAATGTAATTTTTATATATTTATATATATAAATATATATAGCACTTGTCTATACATGTATTGTACAATGTGTATACACACACACACATTGTACAATACATGTATATACAAGTACTATACACACACATTGTGGAATGATTATATCAAGCTGATTAACACATTCATCACCTCACATACTTATTTTTTGCAGAACATTTACAATCAATTCTTCTAGCAATTTACATGATGATTAACTATGGTCATCATGCTGTGGAACAGAGCTTTCTTTCTCCCATCTGAAACTTCATACCCTTAGGTCAACATCTCCTTCCTCGCCTTCCCAGCCTCTGGTAACCACCATTCTACTCTCTAAAGTAGGAATTTATTTTAAATGTTCCCTAAACATTTATTTCAAGCATCCAAGATTCCATAAAAGTCTTTATGTCACCTTCTCCTTAAAGGTCTTGATCTATTCCCAGGCTTCACTTGGCCAAACTAAAACCTCAGTTCTCACGTTGATGTCCTCACCAGGCTCTGAGTCCTCTGGTCCTTTTTCTCTGGCCTCCCTTCAGTTGTCCTTCTGGAGGTCTACTGACAAGAAATGCAGTCATCCTAGGCACTCCCTGGATGACAAAATCCTCTTGTACAAATATCTATGCCCTAAGTGGTTGCCCAGGCAGGGTAAAAGGCAAGGCGTGCCTTTGGTGGGAGAGCGTGTTCTCCACATTCTTCCCCACTGTGGACAAAGTTCTCAGAAGCCACTTTGGCTGCAAAAAAGTATCCCTTAAATGGTGTGTTCTCACATCACCACGCACCACATTGCCCAAGGGAACACTGCTATAATTAGCACATGGGCTCCTCACCAGTCCATCACATTCTAGTAAACCCAGATGTAAGGGAGACTTGGTGGAAAAGAGGAGAAAGCCAAAAAACAGACAAAACAAGAAGAGGGGAAGAAGGATGATGGGGGAAGGGTGGTGATAATATTCATTATAAGGTTTGTAATTAATGATTATAATAATTACTTGCATTTGCAAAGAATTTCCACATGGATGGTTTCATTCACTACATGTAACAACACAAAAAAGTACACACTTATTCCCTTTAAACTACCTTATGGGTCCAATCAGCTGTTGTAGATTCTAGAACTTAGTTATAACTATCATCTATGACTTTCTTATGGAGAAATTTGCTCCAAGTTTCAAAAAATGATTTACAAATGGAAACATACACTGCGTGGAAGTTTAGGGCTGCCCGAGTAGATGAAGGCACACCATGATTTCTCTGAAAATGGAGGACTTATTCCACAGGGGTTGATGGTGAGTCTCCTCTGAGCCAGCTGCGGTGCTGAGTGCAGAGGTGAAGGTAAAGGTGAATAATGCTGGATGCTCCTGCCCACAGCGAGTGGGTCTAAGAAGAGAGCACCTGATGCTCCCAAGGAACTGCAAAGGAAGGAGTCATAGACCAGAACTTTGACATGGATCTGTCCAGCAGAAAAGGTAGGATAGGGCATTTTTGCAGAGAACGTGATGGACAAACCCATGAAGGCACAGTTAATAACTGAATATGGGCAAACCAAGGGCGGCATCCCGGTAGCAGACATGGGAATTGTTACTGCCCAACGAAGAGGCCTCCTTGAGTGTTCATACACTGCTTTTCCTCAGGGGAGCTATTTCTCACCAGCTTTCAGTTCACATGATTGGGTAGGACTGGGTATAACACTCAGGCCTGACAATTCATCAGAGAGATTCACTCAGAAATCGGCATGTGACCCACTCTGGGCCCCTGAGAGTGGATCCTGAGATTTTTGCTAGAACTCTTGGAAAAGAAGCATGTTCTTTCTCTGCCAGGATTGTAGAGTAAGTGTAGGTGGATATTAGTATATTGGATTGTTTGTTTGCCTGGTTGTTTATATGCATTGAGTAAGATCAGAAAGAAATATCTTAAAATATTGACATCAGTGAATTTTTGGGAGGGGGTTAACGATGACATTTAGGGTTTTTGCACATTTTACATATTATTTATGTTTTCTACAAATTTATTATATTTAGATTAAAATAGATTTTTTTCTTTCTTTTATTTTTCTGCGACAGAGTCTCATTCTGTCGCCCAGGCTGGAGTACAGTGGTGCCATCTCGGTTCACTGCAGCCTCTGCCTCCCAGGTTCAAGTGATTCTTGTGCCTCAGCTGCCAGAGTAGCTGGGACTACAGGCGGGCACCTCCACACTTGCCTAATTTGTTTTTGTATTTTTAATAGAGGCAGGGTTTTTCCATGTTGGCCAGGTTGGTCTATAACTCCTGGCCTCAAGTGATCCACCTGCCTTGGCCTCACAAAGTGCTGGGATTACAGGCATGAGCCACTGTGCCCTGCCAGTTTTTGTTTTGTTTTTGTTTTTTGAGACAGTCTTGCTCTGCTGCCCAACCTGGAGTGAAGTGGCGCGATCTCAGTTCACTGCAGTCTCCACCTCCCTGGTTCAAGTAATTCTCCTGCTTCAGCCTCCTAAGTAGCTGGGATTACAGGTGTGTGCCACCATGCCTGGCTAAATTTTGCATTTTTAGTAGAGACAGTGTTTCACCACAATAGCCAGGCTGGTCTTGAACTCCTGGCCTCAAGTGATCCAGCCACCTTGGCCTCCCAGAGTGCTAGGATTACAGGTATGAGCCACCATGCCCAGCCAAAATAGATTTCAATGTTATAAATTATTATTTTAAAAATATTTAGGCTGGGTGCAGTGGCTCATGCCTGTAATCCCAGCACTTTGGGAGACCAAGGTAGGGGGATCACCTGAGGTCAGGAGTTGGAGACCAGCCTGACCAAAATAGTGAAACCCCATCTCTACTAAATATACAAACTTAGCTGGGCATGGTGGTGCATGCCTGTAACCTCAGCCATTTGGAGACTGAGGCAGGAGAATCGCTTGAACCCGGGAGGTGGAGGTTGCAGTGAGCAAAGATCACACCATTGCACCCCAGCCTGGGCAATAAGAGTGAAACTTCATCTCAAAAAGAGATATATATATGACATACATATATTTTATAATATATTGTAAAACAATATAAATATGTACTATAATGATTGTTTATAATATGTGAATAATAGATTTGTGTAATTTTTACATTAATATAAAACAGGAGTGCTTTAAGCCCCAAATGCCCATTTATTCCTTCCCTTGGTTCCAGTTTTAAGCCCAACTCCTGAAACCTGGCAGGACCTGCATCCTGAATCCCAACTTGATTCAGTTTCCTATAACAACTTTTCCAAAAGAAAGCATTTTACCTTTTCAAAGTCAGGTATTTACCAAAAAGAGACATTTCAAAGTGAAACATTTAGGAACTCAGAGGTTACACTGGAGTTGTGCATGCCCCATTAGACCTCAGGCCTCCTCACAGCACAGAGCGGGGAATCATGGGTGGGACTCTATTCTCAGGAGGGGCTTTGACTCCCAGCCAGCTGTGGCAAGGGGACCAGGGGTGGCTCTGCCAGTTTGACATGACTTTGTAGTCCTTTTAGGAAGAGCTCAGTGGGTTGTTGAACTGGCCTGGATACCCTTGGCAGCCCTGCCAGAGAGAGGAAAGGACACAATCCACACCCACCCTCCTGTCACCTGCCTTCACAGTCACGGTCCCTGCAGTCACCAAATGGGAACAGCACAGCTCGGCCCTTCTTGGGTTTCCTCTCCCCTTGTTTGCAAGGACTCCTGAGAATTCACACACACCCTGGGTGCCCTCCTTGCTAGTCACCAGCTCAATCCTGCTGGCGCCCACTGCAGAAACAGACCCCTCTCTCTCTCTCTCTCTCTCTCTCTCTCTCTCTCTCTCTCTCTTTGATATGAAGTCTTACTCTGTCACGCAGGCTAAAGTGCAGTGGGGCCATCTCAATTCACTGCCACCTCCACCTCCTGGGTTAAAGCGATTCTCCTGCCTCATTCTACCCAGTAGCTAGGGTTATAGGCTCCCGCCATGACACCTGGCTAATTTTTTGTATTTTTAGTAGAGATAGGGATTCACCATGTTGGCCAGGCTGGTCTCAAACTCCCAACCTTGGGATCCGCCCGCCTTGGCCTCCCAAAGTGCTGGGATTACAAGTGTGAGCCACCGTGCCCAGCCCAGGCCCCCTTCTTAAATTCCCCAAGCACAGCTTTAACAAAACTCCCTATAACCAGAGATGCCATTCTCTCTCAAAGAAAGTCACCTTCTACAGTGACTAAGAGGAGCCTCTGCCCTCACACGGTCCTGCATTGCACTGTCTCCTTTCCAGAAAAGGTTCACGTTTTATCCTTGCATAACCCAAAGACCTATTAAAATCTTTTCCTAAAAACAAAAGGGATTATTCTCACAAAAGCAAGTTGCTTCCAGCTTCACCGGAGACAAAGAAATTGGAATCAAACCCCAAGCCCGTGTGGCCCAGAATAGCAGTTTGCTCTTTTTTTCTTGCCATTGCTTTTTTCAAAAATAGCGGAGGCCATTTTTTGCACACCACATTCTATACCTGTTTGGAAACCAAAGGCTGAGTCTGAAAGAGGGACAGGGACTGGGCTGGGAGGGGAAGGCTGCAGGAGAGACTCAGGAAGAGGGAGTAAGGTCAGTGAACATAGAAACCGCCAGTTTTTCCAAGGCGGGACCTTTCATCTTGGAGTCAGATATGGGGAGAGGGGGCCGGGTGTCAGCTAGCTGTGGGATCATGGACAAGTCTTAGAGGTGCCTCTTTCAACTTCAAAACTCTGTACTAAGGGGAGGCAGGGGGTTTGTGCAGGCTTCTCACCTGCCTCATCCTGGATTGCATCAGAGCTGCTCAGGACTCATTTCCCCACCTCCACAGGCGCCTACAGCCCCTCCCCCTCCCATAACTTATTAGCTACAGATAACATCCCTTTGTTCTCCCAGTGACTCCACACCCACGGAAGGAGAGGGGGATGAAGAAACCTGCCAGGAAGGTGCCTCCCGCCAGTATCTGATGAAGGTAAGAGGTAAGAGGCTGCCCGTTTACTGCTTGTGCCTTCCAGGGAAGTTTCTTCCCCAGGGTTACCACCCGTTTCAGGAGGCGTCTCTGGGCTAGGCTTCCTGGCAGCAGAGGCTCTCTGGCATTGGGGCTGCTGAGGGTATGTAGTGAAGGCCCTTGGCTTGGAAATCTTCACCTTAGACTCATTAAGAATTTTTTCCAAGGAATCCTCATCGGGTGTGTTCCAATGGCTCCCACCAGATCCCAATCAGGCCCAAACTTTTTTGCCAGTCCTCTCAATCCAGACCCACTGAGCTCCAGTTACATAGAACCACCTGCGATTTCCTTGAACATGTTATGCATTTTCATGCTTCTGTGACTACTTTGCATATGCTGGTTCCTTTGCCTGGAGTGCCTCCTGTCACTTCTCTTCTTAAAGAACTCCTATTCATCCTTCAAGACCCTACTCAAAAGTCAGGTTCTTTTTCAAAGCCTCGCTTGACTTCCCAGACAGGGTTGGATGCTCTGTGCTCCAGGTACAGGGTTCCTTCCCTGGCTCCTCTCGGATTAGGGTAATTATTAGCATTTGCATGTTTATCTTCCTTCTAGTTCCTCCAGAGCAGGGCCTGTCACTCACCTTGCAAATGTGTACAGCACAGTGCCAGGCCCTAGTCATTCCTCAGCCAATATTTGTGGAAGGATAAACGCAATTTCTTCTGGATTTGTTGTATTTTTGAGTAGAATGAAGGGGATGCTTTTGTCACTGTGGACATTCCCGGCTACCGGTGCCATCTCTCCAGACAAAGGTCACATATTTGTGGGTCTATATATTCACATAGGATCAATATGCCACTTTTCAGGCCTACTGCTCCTGCTTGAATATACAGACTCACAAATACGTGAGCTTTGTCTAGATCTATTTATTTTACACATTAACCTTACAGGTGGGTGTTATTGTTACCATCATAAAATAAAGAGATTGAGATGCCAAGAGGTTAAGTACCATGTTCAAGGTGACAGCACTTGGATGGCAAAGCTGGGACCTGAACCCAGGCATTCTGGCTGAAAAATCTTCTTTTACGTACCAGAGATTCTCAGTAAGTGGTCTTTGAATCAGCAGGTCAGCATCACCTGGGAACTTGTTAGAAGTGCAAATTCTTGGATCCCACCCCAGACCTGCCAAAGCCAAAACTCCAAGGGTGGGGCCCGGCAATCTGTTTTAACCAGCGCTTCTCGGGTTTGAGAACCTGGCCTGTGCCACAGCTGCTCCGGTAGCTGCCCAGAGCCAGGGGAGGGCGCTCCAAGGCCGACTTTCATTGCTGGGAACCTGTCAGGCACTGCAGAAGGCAAGAAAATGCGTGAACTGAGAATTAGGAGACAGAGTTCTAGTCCCGCCAGTTCTGCAATTATTGGTTGAGTGATTTGGAGCACATTATTTAATGTTTAATCTCCCTGGGCCTCAGTTTTCTCATCTGTAAAATGAGGATGATGACTAAATGTTCCCACCTCTAATTTTCCTTTAAATTCTGTTATTCAGCCCTCCTTTGGAGTAATATGTTGTCTGCGCCAAAGATGAAATGAAGACAGAGTATGATGGCTCATTTGACTTTTTCCAGACTTAGAAATGGAGAGCCCCAGAGTCCAAATCCTTGGACCCGCCTTCTTCCTTAGGGCCAGAAGGTGAAAGGAAGCAAACATTTGAGTTGATTCATGAAACTTTACTGGGCAAAAAATAGGAAATGTTGGTTTGGCCCCTCCTCCACTGTCTGGGGCCCTCCACACGAGCTCTCTCACTGGTTCCTTCACCTGCCTCCCCACTGTGGCTCTACCAGCCCCTCTCTGTCCCCTCTGTGAGCCTGAGCACTTTCCCTGCACACGCATCTGGGGTTGCCCAATTCACATGCTCTTGTTTATTCACAGTTCTTCTGCGGAAGGGTGGGGCTGGAGTCAGGGTGACTTACTAGGTCTGACAGGGGCTTGGTGGCCTTATGGAGAGCCCCTCAGACACACTGAAGTCCCATCCTACTGGCTTCACATGGACCCAAGGGACCTCCCTGGAGCCCACTCCACAGAGGATGGGACTGTACTTACTGGACACTGGTGGAGCCCAGCATTCAGCTGACAGCTGAAAAACCTCAGGTCTACATTGGGCTAAAAGGAAGGAAGAATGTTTCTTGCCCCTTTGAGATGTTTACAAAAATTCAAAAAAAGCAATTATGCTGTCAAAGTAGAGCCCTGAATCAGAAAGGTGGTTAGAAGAATTTTTTTTTTTTTTTTTTTGAGACAGAGTCTCACACTGTCACCAGGGCTGAAGTGCAGTGGTGTGATCTTGGCTCATTGCAAGCTCCACCGCCCAGGTTCAAGTGATTGTCCTGCCTCAGCCTCCTGAGTAAGTAGCTGGGATTACAGGCACCCGCCACTACGACCAGCTAATTTTTTGTGTTTTTAGTAGAGACAGGGTTTCACCATGTTGTCCAGGCTGGTCTCAAACTCCTGACCTTGTGATTCACCTGACTTGGCCTCCCAATGTGCTGGGATTATAGGCTTGAGCCACTGCACCCAGCAGGAGAATTTTAATCACCCAGGAGCTGACACTTAAGTTCGGTGGGACTATGAGAACTGGGGAGTTTCAGAAGTTGGTCAAAGAACATGTTGCCTTTGGCAAAACCACACGTCAAAGAGCCCAAGTGTCTGTTCAATGTGTATTACTCTCAGAGAGACTTTCAGCACAGGGTTTTCAGAAGCCAGGAAAAGCCTAAAAGTGTAGGACATCAGGTGTCCCCAGCAATCCTCAGGTGAAAAGCCAAAGAAGGTGGTTCTTAAACAAGGGCTCAGGGGAGACCAGAAGCCAATGTTGACTTCTCCTCAGTTGAAGGTCACTAAGGTTGCATTTCTTAGCTGCAAGTGACCTGGGGAAGCTGGCCACCCTTAGATGATCAGTGGAACTACATGCTAATAAGAGTATGCGTGTCAAGTTGTGTGGAGTTGCGGCTTCTATGCCTTTTAAATCAATACACATTGTCTCAACCTAGTGCCCTGGAGTCCCATGTTAACACCTTCTGCTGATGGCTGCTTTCTTGACCCATTCTGAGCACCCAAAAGTGGCCCTGGTAATTGAGTTCAACCTGGAACCTGCTGACCTGCCTCAGCGGTCTTGGAACTTCCCAGGATCCCAGGGGGCTTGAAAACCTGAGGACCACCCAGGCATAGATTAGGATTCCTGGACTGCTCCAGGATCGGCCCTCTTCCTCCCCACAGTCAGGGCCTGTCCCATCTCAGCCTGAAATTGGCCTGCTTTCCTCCAAGACTTGGATGGAAGATTCTTCTGCATATGTTCCAAATGTATTTCAACTCCTTAGAGTCTCCTAAGCATCTCACTGTCAAGCCTCTATGACTTCACAGACACTCAACACTTCTCTCCGGTGCTGTCTTCTACACGAAGATTGGCCCCGTCTGAACACGTAGTCTCAGCAGGCTGATGCAATCTAGCTGTGGCCCTTTGGCAGGTCACTTTACTTCTCTTGGCCTCAGTTTTATCATCTGTAAAGTGGGAATGTTGCTTTAGATGCCCTCTGAGATCTTCCAATTCTAACATTCTGAGATTCTGGGGGCCACCCTGCCGAAACAGTTTCAGAGGTGCTGCACATCACCCCACACATGGCCATGAGGACGTAGGAGAGAGTCCATGTGGTGTCAGGACAGTGAGGAAGACCCTGGGGCAGATGAGTACTTTTCCTTCACGGACTTGGATTTGAGGAGAGCCTGTTGGGTGGGTCCTAGCTGGAAAGAGTGAGACGGCCCCCCTCAGCCTCCTGCTATGCTTGAGTGGTTGCCTCACAGGCTGTCAATTAACCCCCCTCCCACTTCCCAGGGTGGGGAAGGGAAGGGCAGATGGGGGACAGCTGATGAAATAGGCAGACACAAGGTGTGTTCTTCAAAGACAAAGCCAGGGTCAGCAGAGCTGGGCCAACTTGGGCTGTAGCTGCAGGCCCTTCTCTTTGCAGAGTTTCAGCTTCCTCTTCACTCCTTGACTCTCTTCTAATAACTTAAATGGGGTGTTTTTTCTGAGCACCGGAGCCAGTGGTTGATACTTTGTGTTAGAATTTACCCATCGCTGTCCACTTGTGTTACTCTTAAACTGAAGCCAAAGAGAATGTCCTTGGCTGCTGGGAACGTGTACAATGGGGGCACCCAGGAGTGGGCTGGTTGTTCTGAGACTCTGATCCCACCAGACCATACTTTCTGCGTGCTCTTCCAGGAGGAAATGGATCCAGCCAGAAGGATCAGAGAGTGTCAGAAGATCCGGAAACTTCCTCTGTGTGGCCAAAGTCTCAAAATATGCCATTCTATTCTGGGGAATGCCGTGTCTATTCAGGGCTCCATCCATCAAATAGAAATGGGACTCTAGGCTACTTTCCCACCTCCCAGGAATGTGGATGCCTAGAACACAATAATTCTTTTAATCTTCTAAGATATATATATATATATATATATACCAGATTCCAGGACAGGTACAGTGGTCTACATCTGTAATCCCAGCAGTTTGGGAGGCTGAGGTGGGCAGATCAGTTGAGGCTAGGAGTTGGAGACCAGCCTGGGCAACACAGTAAAACGCTATCTCTTAAAAAAAAAAAAAAAAAAAAAAAAAAAAGCTGAGTGTGGTGTTTCATGCAGTAGTCCCAGCTGCTTGGGAGGCTGAGGTGGGAGGATCACCTGAGCCCAGGGAGGTTGAGGCTGCAGTGAACCGTCATTGCACTACTGCACTCCAGCTTGGACAACAGAGCGAGACTCAGTCAAGAAAAAAAAAGATTCTAAAAGGGGGAAAAAAGAGAAGGCATATTAAGTCCTCGACAAAAGGAAAATTGCTAAATATTGCACTTAAGCTAGCTTAATAATGAGCAACTATACCTTCATCATACGTTGCAAAGAACTTTGTCATACTAAATCCACTCTTCGACTCTGTATATTCCCTCAAAAGGCTTCATAAGGAAAGTCCAAGTACAGTTAAACTACACATCAATCATATTCATCCTAGTTTACTGAACACTTTTCATGGGGCAGGGCCTGTGCTACATGATTTAAATGAATTATCACATTTCATCCCCACAAGAACCCTGTGAGACTGAATCTACTATTAACCCCATTTTATAGATACTGACACTGAGGCACAGACGCTTTTTTTTTTTTGAGACAGAGTCTTGCTCTGTTGCCCAGCTGAAGTGCAATGGCATGATCTTGGCTCACTGCAATCTCTGCCTCCCTGGCCCAAGCAATTCTCTGAGGCACAGAGGTTTGAATAACTTGTCCAAAGACACAGAGCTAGTAAACGATAGAGCCATGGTATTGAGCTGCTTTCCCTGACTTTAGAGCCTATGCTCTCAACCAGCTGAAAACTTCACATACACAAATAGAGAATTTAGGGGGAATAGAATCCTTAAAAATACAAAAGTTTTGCTAGAATGTTCTCTAAACCCAAAATTCTCCCATAACTTCAGTAAATAAGACCTATGGCCCGACATGGTGTGGCTCACGCCTGTAATTTCAACACTTTGGCAGGCCAAGGTGGGAGGATCACTTGAGCCCAGGGGTTCGAGACCAATCTGGGTAATACTGTTAGACCCTGTCTCTACAAAAGTTTTTTATAAATTAGCCGGGTGTGGTGGCACATGCTTGCAGTCCCAGCTGCTTGGGAGGCTGAGATGGGAGAATTGCTTGAACCCAGGAGTTCAAGGCTGCCAAGAC